GCGTTGATCGAACGCTCTGGAGTAATCGAGAAAGGTCCTTGTGGAACTTATCCTTGATTTCAGGTGTACTCCAATCTTTTGGTGCATACATCGACACGACAAATAGGCATCGATGCTTCGTTCTGTAACTGTTGATCCGCGCTGAACCGTTGAGACGTATGGCGCACAATCGGTTACTGACTGGATCCAGTCAAGAAGCGAGCGCTCTGCCTTGGCACTTATCGTAATCTCGATACCAGCAATCTGCGATCTTCGGATGCCGAATCGCCCGACACACAATGAGTGAAGCGTGAGGTTGAGGTTGGACCAGGAGAACATAGGGAGATAATGGATGTAGGGTCTTGTATGCGTGTTTCGGGGACACAGCATACATCTAAATTGAAAGTTTCAAGGGTTCTAGCTAAGACAGCTTGTTGACCGATCTGATAGATTGTGCGGACATTGAACGCGGCTAAATGAAAAGGGGATTCTAGCTTCAAAAAGCCTGTAACTTCTGATTGTTTGGACTTGCTTATAAAAGGCTGAGTGATATCCGATGAGTCTTCTAAACAGTAGGCGTTTGGGAATATTCGGGATTGAGAAGAAGAACTAGACAGATGAGGAGGGTTTTCCAAATGGGTGCCTAAGACTTTAGGACACGACATACTTCGCGATAGCCCACACTGATGACGGAGTTTTTCTTTGGGAATCCTAACCGGAACCTTTGACTCAAAATTCTGACCCACAAGGCAACTGGAATTTGTGGTTTTTTTTTGGGAACCCTAACCGGAGCCTTTGACTCAAGAGTCTGACCCACAAGGCAGTGGGCCGTAAATCCAACACGGGAGCGTGAACGGAGCAACCGTGTGGGAGCTTCTGGAGACCTGTCACGCAAGACTTTCAGATTTCGGTTAACTTTGTTGTTCGCTGGTGCGTTGATTATCGGTCAGCTTTTCGGGATCGGTCCTTAGTCTGATGCACCCAATGAGACAGTTGGAACGTGGACGGGACAGCACCTTATTGGCTGGGGGCCACCCGGCTTGGGGGGTGACAGCCGTCCAATGACGTGCGAAGACGTCTCCCACTATCGAGAGGAAGCTCCAGATAGCCCGCTCCTACGTCCATCTAGCGGGGTTTTTTATCGGTAAACTACCCCTCACCGTGTTTATTTGCTGGAGTGACCTCTCTAGGGGCGGGTTTGGATAGAGAAAGGTAGCCAGGATATGCCCAAGCAGTTGGCTGTGAGATTGAGCTTTTTCTGGCCTCTACCCGTTGACCTTTCAGGCATGATTGGATCTACGGCTGTGAGAAGCCATCCTGTGTAGCTCGCAGGCTCATGGAAGCACACAAGCCGNCACAAGCCGTCACATCACGTTAAGGTGTAATCTCGTCGTGATGGCTCTGAAAGCGGCTTTTGATTCAGTCGAGTGCTCTATACAGTGGTGCTGCCTCTCTTTAAAGGATGTGCCTGACAAGCTTAATACTGTTTCGCGATCTGTTGATACGAATACCTGAAACCGACTCCGAGCTTACGACACATTTTCGCTCGAGTTCACCTCGGAAAGCGACATTCGTCATGGTTGCCCTCTCTCTTTCTGTGGAACTTTGTAATATATCTGATTCTTTCAATAGCCTTTTCCTTGTAGCAGGATAGCGGTATCGATTTGCTCCCAGGTGGTTGTCTGTTTTATATGGAGTATGCAGAAGTCATTGTCTTGCTAATTGGCGAAGTTTGCCCGAATGCTGTACTGTCTGTCTGCTAAAATCCTGTGCCCCATTAAAATCAAAAAACTAACTCAAAACATTAAAAGCATGTCGTGAACCAAAAAAACTAATTTTTCTTCTTTTTATCCGAATGCACTATAATGGTTCGATCCCCGTTCCTGCCTGTTTTGTGCCCTAATCCTCTCATGTTCTTTTATTCTTGATGCGTTGGCACCATGCGTGTTCGTAAGCCGGTGGTATATATTCACCACTTATACTCTCGTTCTTGCTTTCGTGGTATTTCTTGTGAACCCGTGAAAGGTATTACCCTGGTTCTCTTTGTTTTCAGCATACCAGCGTTGGAGATGCCAGCGGAACTCTCGTGGCCCCACCGGTTGCTGTCTATTGTACTCATGAGCCTGGCGTGTCTTGCACACCAACAGATGGTTCTGCACTAGCCGATGGTACTCCCGCTTCTGCCGTGCCGACTGGTGCACTCCAATCATGCGACACTTGTGCTACTGCCGCATCTACGTTCACCGGAACCGATGAACAAACTGCAACTGGTGGTTTTATGACGACTGGTAGCTCTCGGAATGCCGCGGTCACCCGTCAGTCACAGATCAATACAACTCGTGCTCGAACAACACTACGTAGCATGCACCCGACAGGCTCCCGTTTGCGCTCAACTCCTTTTTCCAACTTAGCTAACCGCACCCCGGTTATGCTTGCAGCTCAGCAACGTTCCATCTTGTCTTACACTCAGACAGCTCCGATGGATCGGACGTGGTGGCGCCTGTTAGGACGAAGACAACTGACTGGTGAGGGAATGGGCGGAATGGAA